CCTACAACATTTCCGCCTCCATCGGAAATACAGCCGCCGCAGCCGGGATTCGATCCCCCGACCTGCGGGTTAGCAGCCGAGTACCTTAGCCACTAGAACACCGCGGCGGGGCGTGCCAATCAAGTATTCTACCACAGAACCACAAAATGTATCAAAACTATTTTTCAAATGCGTACTAGTGTTCGTGAAACGTCAATTGTGGTGGCAGTGCTAGCTATCCAATACTATAAACATTACCTACGTACTTCTTTGACGCAGCCGTCACGTTGGCTCAACGTCCATAGTAGTTAGGTGCCATGCGCTGAAGGTGATATATTTAAAGGTGTCCAGGGCTACCATGCTCGCGAGCACCAGCGCTTCTAATCAGCCTGTTGTTTCTGGTGTGGCTAATACTCATGTTCCTGTTGGCATTATTACGCAAGTGCAAACAGATCGTTATATGAATATGTGGAACACTTCCACATGTGTCTGTGCGTGCAACATTTATACATATGTTTAGCATGGTTCCACTACACATCACTCAATAGGAAATTACAGCACGGTCACCTTCCCTTTGCATGCTTCGCATAACGTCGATTTCCTAAGTACGTGTAATCTGCCAATTTTTTTTACTATTTGTTTATTCAAAAAGGACCCACAGACGCCAGCTGGAGTATTCTGTAAGGGGACAGGGGTTATAGAGAGCATGACAACATTAGATTAAGCATAACAACACAATGATACGTGTTGTAGTACATGAACCCCCCAAAAATGTTGTATAATTGTTAGCAACAGCCAACTGGACACTCGGCTAATAATCAAAATGCTAAGATGCTCATTTTCAACGCAACATCACATTGGAATACATAATTATCAATAGCTAGCGATGACGATTGTACAACATTTAGTAGAAGGTTGAAGACACTGGTAATAAAAAATTTGCACTAACTTCGTGACGAAACAGTACAGCATGATCAATATTGACAACACTGTCGGGAAGACCATTTCTTATTTCAAGCGCAACTGGTAATTCCGGTGAACTGGATGCCCCATTGCGTCTGAAAATACGTTTGCAGGAACGGCCATTGTGCAAACGGCGAGAAAAACGTATCTGCTGGGTGAGATGGAGCCTTGTCTCATGCTTACCTGATGCTCTTTTGTGAAATAGGCTGATGAAGGCGTTCTTTCTGCGGGAATGTAAAGACGGCATTGATAGTGATGATTTAATATCAGTGATACTGGAATGCCCGCTGTTCTCTTCAGTAAAAAAACGCGCGGCGTGGTTTAGAGGGGTTGGGGTTGATTAGATATATAGACCTGATTAGGTCCCTAACAAGGTGAATTGAAGTTTAGGGCAAAGGTCAGGTATGCTGGTGATTTGGTAGATGTTCAAGTGTCATGAAGGTTACGTTTGAGGTTGCCAAGAATGCCGGATGCCTGCGCTGAATATTTTTCGATATGTGTTTACCATAAGAGAGAGGAAGGAAGATGTATGCAAGAGTATGTATAAAGATTTGAGTCTTACATGATAGTTGTTAACAGTGTGAAAAACAAAGAAAATGATTGCTTGCGCATGAACGTCATTAGGTTGCATTTATCAGTATTAAGCGTAATTTTCCAGCATGAGCACCAAATAGTTCTCAGATCTAGATCTTCCTGAACAGCCAGTTAGTCTGATTAAGGTATTATCTTGCGCTAGATGATTAATTCATCTGCAAATAGTTGTATGTTAGAGGAGATACGCGATGGGAAGTCATTGATGTGAATTAAAAATAACAGGGAGCCCAAGACACTACCCTGAGGAACACCAGAGGTTATATCTGCTAGAACAGATGAGAATGAACTAGAAACGGTATACTGCTTGCAGAATGATAGACAGTTTCTGAGCCAGAATAAAGTCAAGAAGTCTGTAATCAGTAACGATAGTTTGGATATTAGAAGACAGTGCGGAACACCATCAAATGCTCTAGAGAAATTAAAGAATATGCAGTCTATGTCAAGGTGCTCACGCATGAACGTGAATAAATCATTAGTTAATTCCAATAGCTGGCTGTCGCATGGAAAGCCTTTTCTGAACCCATGTTAATTCCGATAACAAAATTGTTAGCTTGAAGGTTCTCAGCGATGTTAGATGTGATGACATATTCTAGCAATGCACGCGGCACACTAGTAAAATATGAAGTGAGAGATATGGTACCTTATTCCAGCTTAATCAAATTTAATCGAATCGGCCTAGTGGGACCATATATACGCTGTCACCCAAACGGCTAACCATCCTCAATACACTCAACATTGACTTGTTCAGAATTAGCTTATCCCGGAATTACTTGATACTACTTAATCTGAAAGAGCATAGCTTAGTCGGTTATAATTTACCTTATAACTATGCCATCTCATATTAGACCAGATTAGGGTGATGCAAAATAATCTCCACCAATCTTGCCTAATATCACTTGATAGGTACCTATAAGTATATATTGGTATCGACAAGTGTTATATTAGCTTGTCCTAATGCAATAAAGCTACGATATACTAGCTTAACTAGGCTTTTTCTAAGCATACCCTGATTTAATATGGTGACTCAATAGGTATCAATGAGTATTATCACTATTCATTTGAATCGACTATTGGTGAGTGTTTTGACTATGCTTATTTAGGAAGAGCTAAGGTTAACTTGTCTTCACCAATGCTATGTAAACTTTTCGGCAAGGTAGCCAAATCATCTATTCACTCCGCCCAGCTTAACGCAAAGGTTAACATTCTCTTCGCTAAAGCAACTTCACGCGGTGATTGTGTGTTGCAGCTATAGTGAAAGAACAAGGATTTCTTTGCCTGCATGCTTAATGCCAGCAAATAAAAAGTGTAGGACCACTTGCTAGACTAGCCAAAAACAAACCTCGCATATCTTGGTGCTGTTTGTCCGACGCTAGCGGCAGCGTTTTACTTGTGCTTCCCCCCTTTTTAACGCGATAGTGTTAGAGAGCTCCTGTCGCAGCAATTCCGCCGTCAACGTCGATACCATTGATTGTGAACAAAAAAATCGTCTGTGAGCGAAAAATTGAGAACGAAGAAAATAAAATAAAGAATACATTTTCGGTTCCAGTGCGAATTGAACCCGGCCCATTCACGTGACAAAATGTTCTACCACAAAGCCACGATGTTACTTGCAGAGGCTTTCGGAAAAGGGAAAAAAAACTACATAAATGCCATGTAATGGAAGGAGTCTCCTTAACGTATTTTGCTCGACGGGTGTCACGACGAGAACAAGCCTACTCGGCAATTTGTAGGCGCATTTGGTAGGCCATCAAAATACGCCGGAAAAGGTCGAGATAGGGCAGCCATAGCCACTAAAAACACACAGGAACTTTCAAACAGCTCTGAAAGTGCACATTTATGTCCCTCTAGCGGAAAACATATCGTGCATTTACAGAGGCGTAGAGGAGGCGTAGCGTTGATAAAGCAAACAGCAAACGCTAGATGATGTGATGCCAGCTGTGAGGCATTGTCAGACTCTTTATGGCAGAGGAAAGTGGCCACACTGCAAAGTCACTGCGTTATTATAAATGCGTCCCGCTGGCGCGCGCGTGCATTTGTGTGCTTGTGTGCGTGTGTGCGTGTGTTTGTGTTTTTAATAAGTCATATTATAAGTATGGAATTAGCGGTTCAAGGGCGCACTAGGGGCTGGATTACGCTATCGCGTTCAACTCTTAAAGGGGAAGGTCTGGTATTTTTTCGTTCGCTGCTACGGAGGAAGCGAAACATCCGCTAGCGTTTCGTGTGTGAACTAGTGCAGTGGCACATGGCAGCCTGTTATAGCAGCCAAAGAATGAACCTCAATACGTCAAGAACAACGTATTTACAGCGCCGCTCCCGCGCTAGCCTCTGAGCGCCGCCCGACTCTTTTGGGCAAATATGACGGCTATAGCCGGTGCGGAGTCTTTCAAAAGGTGTCTATATCCGGGAAGCGGAAGCGCATGGACGTCAAGGCACCCTAAGGCACGCAACTGATGCAAGAGTCGCTCTTTATCTGTTTGTGCAATTGACCAGTAGCACTGACAGATGGGCGAGTTCATGTGGGTTCATGGTTAAGAACGATGCAAAAAAATGAGAACCAAACTATGAAAACACCTGGGCGGGCACCAAAATTTGTTGTTCGACGTCAAACAGCAAGTGTTTGAAGCTCCGGATAGCACAGACGTCTTGATGAAACAAGAGCGCCTGCGAAAATCGTCACAATGTGTTTACTAACCAACTTTGTCGACAGAGAATGAGCCTTTTAAGTAATAGTGGTTAATCATATTAACACTAAAAGGTATAAAGCTCACATATCAGTTCACGCAAAAATAGCACAATGAATGAGTAACTGAAATTTGCAGTAATTTCCTTATCTTGAAATTACTTGTAATCTTTTCAGCATGGCGATTACATTCGCTCTTTTGCGACGACCACTTTTGTAAACATACTAAATATCAACGCAAACTGTAATGATGATGACGTCACGGTAAGTGCTGCAGTGTTAAGTCAAATGGAGATCTAGCACTTCAATGTGCCCGCGGAACTCTACCTCTTTCAACACCCCGTGAACATCAGTGTATGTCTTTCCACTTATGTTATCAAATGTATGAAGGGACTGGCAGTACATGGGTGAATATACGAAGGGAATAAAATCAAGCAGAAAGTACAATTCAAAATGACTGTCGTGATTGCTTCAGCCATGTCTAACTACGAATGTTTCGAAAGTCGCAACACGTGTGTATGCTAAACAATATAAATGACGCTGTTCAATGCTATTCGATTTGTAGACGAATACGACAGCCAAGACTTCAGCTATCAAATCGCGCGCAGTCAGGCAATTACGTAGTTGACTGCACCACCCTCCTTGAACATGTAGTTGTAGAAGAAGTCAATGGTTCTCTCACTGTGCCTCCTTTTTCTCTTTCCTCCAGTCGTTTGCTGGAAATGACGGCCCGCTTGGCAATGAAGCAGATGGGTTGTCTAACAATTTTTCTCAATGTCGGCAGGTATCCAACTGTTTCGTCGTCCTTGTGTGGAGCTACTTTCTCAGCTACGTACTCTCTATGGCCTGCGAACTTCCTGTGGCGCACCTGGAGAAGCTGGCATTTCTCCGGGGCATCAGGGAGGGCGGTGACACCACGGAAGAAGTACGGAAGCAGCATGAGGATCCCGGACAAGACAACGGTGATATACACGTTGTATGCATTGATGAAGGCATCTCAAAAGTTTCCCACGTGAATGACATTTCCTGCAAAGAGAACTGAAACCCAAAAGGTTGAATCATGTTACTGAATCTCGATATGTAAGTGCATCAAGTTTATCATTCGCTGGGTGCATGTTCAAGACCCTAGGTGGTCGAAATTTCTAGAGCCCATCATTACAGTGTCTCTCATAATCATATAGTGGTTTTTCAACATTTGACCACATACAGTTATTGTATTATTCATCATTCGTTTAATATTGAATAAATCAGCAGAGATCTTTCAACAATGAATCTCATTTCATTCCAATTTGTTACTTTAAAGACCCCGTTTGAAGGTATTACTTAAACGATTGTTGTTAACATAGTAGTGTAATAAAAGTGTGTGCTTGCGAACATTTACCGCGACTTTCCGTCATTTAGCCAATATTCAGCAATAGCTGACACTTGAAAATATGAGCATACAGTGGCCAGCATGGGCAAATATTTAAGCTATAGTTAGCAACTGCTAACCCTGCGATTACACACGGTAAATGTAATTGCCACAGGTCATCAAGGTATTACCGCGCCCACACATGTTACATAAATTTCTTGCTACTTCTTTCTGTGTGTTTCGTGTCATTTATCACGTTGTTTATTACGATGGTGAGAAACAACCGACTCAGGCAAGTGCAGTGTTTGAAACAGCGTTGCTGTATTACTGGTAGTACGCAGAGTGCAGCCTCACATGAAAGTACGAAGCAACAGAATGGGATACGATCGTTGATTGCGAACGTAAGTAATATCGCAGAATGATGCTTTATATCTTATTCACTGCAGGCACATATGTACTCATGTATACATTGTAAACAGTTTTGTCTTGTCCCAATAAAGTCGCTTGAAGTAAATAAACTCTCATTTTTCCCCACACTAACTTTCAAAATATTTTGACTTAACGAAGTTTCGCGTTCCTCAAAAGCCTCTCACTCGCATAATGTCACGAGTGAAATAAAGAGCTTCGGGCAAGGAATACCGCGTAGTCACAGAGGCGCAGGTCAGTGGTGCGACAAAAACAAGAAGGACTGACCGAGAGAGCGTGCTATCATAAATTACTTCTTCGTTCAATTCTCTTGAATGCGGGCTTCTGAACGCCGCAGTTCATGGCAACGTGGCATTATTTCCTCACTGAAAAAAAACCCTCACCCTGGTGCGTGCAAAAGTGGTAGTACATAACCAGAAAAAAACCAATGGTGCAAACTGTGGGCACATCGAGAAAGAAAAAAAAGCAACAACAAAGTGATAAGGCCACGGCATGGTCACACTAACGCCTGAAGTATAGCCTGGGCCGTACAATGTGAACAATTGCTGGACAGTGCTTTTGACTTCAGGAAGACATGGTTGCGGCTGGACGAACCTCATAGTTGACGTCACTCCCGCATTTCACCACTTTGTAGGGTCCAAAGTTGCGACTCGGGAGCGTTTCGGGCAACCCTTGACGGAAAACCAGAGTTCATACGCAAACTATATCTCCTAGATGGTATTCCACTTGTCGGTGGCAAAGATTGTAGTGGCATGTAACTGCAGTTTGATGTTGCGTGATGTGCAGGCGGGCGAAACGTCGAGCTTCTGCGGCACACTGAGTAAGCTGCTCAGCGTCAGGTGTGGGTAAACCGTCATAATCATGTGGCAACATAGCTTCTAGAATGGTCTGAAACCCACGTCCATAGACGAGATGGAATGATGTGAATCGTGTCGTTTCTTGAATGGCAGTGTTGTACGTGAATGTTATGTATGGTAGTACCTGATACCACGTATTGTGCGGAACGTTTACATGCATTGATAACATATCAGCGACGGTTTTGTTGATTCGCTCCGTCGATCCGTTCGTCTCTGGGTTAGATAGATATGTGGGGTTTAACGTCCCAAAACCACTATATGATTATGACAGACGCCGTAGTGAAGGGCTCCGGAAATTTCGACCACCTGGGGTTCTTTAACGTGCACCCAAATCTGAGCACACGGGCCTACAACATTTCCGCCTCCATCGGGAATGCAGCCGCCACAGCCGCGATTTGAACCCGCGACCTGCGGATCAGCAGCCGAGTACCTTAGCCACTAGACCACCGCGGTGGGGCTCGTCTCTGGGTTATACGTTGTCGTCTTCCGATGGCTCGTGAAGCTTAGTTTTAATACTTCGTATGTGAGCTGAGCCATGAAAGCTGTTCCTCTATCAGTGGCCACGCAAAACGGGGTGCCATAGCGAAGAATAATCTGGTCGATGAAAAATTGGGCAACATCGGGAGCTGTAGCTCGTTCGGGGTCTCTTGTCTCGGCGTATCTTGTTAGATGATCTATCGCTAGGACAATATACTTGTTGCCGGTAGATGACAGAGGGAATGGCCCCAGCATATCTATTCCTACTTCAACAGACGGCGCCCTTGGTGGTGTTATTGGTTGCAGCAGGCCTGCAGGCTTCAGTGGCTGAGATTAGTGGCATTGATATTCACGGCAGTTTTCGAAATACCGCTAGACGTACGTAGCAGCTTTCGGCCTGTAGTACACCTGTTGAGCTCTGGTGAGAATTCGCAAAGTACCGAGATGACTAGATGTGGGCTCGTCGTGGTAGGCTAGAAGAATGTCGTCTCGCGTGTCAGAAGAGGCCACTAGCAGCTATGCTTTTCCTTTGGCGTTCGCGTTTGCTTTGTACAAAACACAATTTCGTAGGCAGAACAAAGAGCGATCGCGAGAAAGGTGTCAAGGTATGAATGTGTTGTGTCCACCTAAATTTTCAATAATTTAGCGAATCGCGATGTCATCGTATTGTTGTACGATCAAGTTAGTTTCAGTGAGCGCTCCGAGGAAGCCGCTGTCAGCCTCATAGCGGGTATCGCAAACTGCAGTTGGTGCACAGGACAACGAATCAGCATCTTTGTGCTTGCGGCCTTATTAAAAGACGATGGTAAGGTCGAACTCTTGCAAAAGCAGACTCCATCTGGCCAGAGGCCCAGACGGGTCTCGTAAATTGGCTAACCAGCACAATGAAATATGATCGGTCACTGCTTTGAAGTGATGACCGTAAAGGTGAAGCCAGATTTTTATGGTAGCCCACACTCCTGCGAGAGACTCCTTCTCTGAGGTGGAATAGTTCAGCTCGGCGTGACACGGTACGGCTAACGTAAGCTGCTACTCGCTCGTTGCCTTCTTGATGTTAGACAAGCACAGCGCTAAGACCTATATTGCTCGCGTCGGTATGAACTTCGGAGGCAGCAACCTCGTCGAAGTGAGCAAGAACTAGGGTTGCCTGCATGCGGTCACGTAGTTCGATAAAAGTCATGTTCTGTTCCTAATTCCAGGCAAATAGTACGTCTTGTAGGGTGTGATAAGTCAGACGTTGAGCAATTTGAAAAAAAAAGTGGCGATGAAGCGACGATTGTAGGCGCAAAGGCCAAAGAGCCGATGTGCTGCTTTCTCGCCAAGGGAACCAGAAAGGAGGCTACGGTGGTTATCTTGTAGAGGTCAGGTCAAACACCGTGTGCGCTCACAACCTGATCAATAAATTTAAGTTCATTTTAGCCAAAGTGTCAATTTTCTGGCTTCGGCGTGAGGTTCCCAGAGCGGAGCGCTTACTTAACAACCTTCCGACGTTTTCGTTGTTTCTTGAAGGTGGCCGATAACCCGGCGATATCATCTAGATAGACTAGGCCGCTGTTCCACTTAAGACCAGTAAGAACAGTGCCCGCCATTTTTAGGAATGTCGTTTGTACGGAACACAGGCCGAAGGAGAACACCTTGAATTCATACAGATCATCTGGTGTAACAAAATCAATTTTTTTCTTGGTCTCTTTCTTGAACCTCAGGCTGCCGGTATCACCTTCTCAAGTCCATAGATGAAAGATACCTTGCCCGCCGTAGTAAGTTAGCGAAATAACGATGCGTGGCAGAGAATACACGTTTTCTTAACCACGCCATTCAGCTTTCTGTAGTCAACGAAGAAACGCAACTTTCCCTTCTTTTTCTTTACAAGAACGGCTGTCAATGACCATGGTCTGTTGGACGGCTGTCTAACACCATCCTGGAGCATTGAGGAGACTTGAGCATTGATCGCGTAACATTCTACGGCTAAATCTTGGTAGGGTTGTTCCTTTGTGGGCGATACATTGATGTGCATAATAATCCAGTGTTTCGTAAGGGGCTCTAAATGCACCTTTCAGGACGAACTGCAGTACTCATAGACTTAAAGCGTTAATGTCATGTTTTACATAAAACACCTTCGAGGAACCAATGGTGTGATGGGTTATCAAAGCATAAATGAGTAAGGCTCCATGTTTTCGGATGAATTTGAAAAGAAATGTGTTTTAAGCTTGCTGTAAAAATTAAACAATTCATACTTTTCCTATAAACTTCTAAATTAAAGGTAAATTTTCAACGCTCAAGGGGTAACCTCAATGCTGACAATTGTCAATTGAATGCAAGTGCACATCCATGAGTGGCAGCTACCTAGTAAAGTATTCCTGCATCTAAAACAAGCTTTATAGTGGCATACCCACATACCGCAGACCGTCCTAAACGGTTATTTGTCATACGTGTCTGTAGAAAAGGTTTCCACGACGTACGCGTCAAAACGTCATGACCAGTGTGCTTTTGAGTTCTGGACGCCACTGCAGCAAGCCGCTGAATTAACGATGCTTGGAAAGATAGGCGTGCCGCGAGTCTATCGAATGGGTGGCAGGATAGGAAAAACCTGCATCCCGAATCCGAAAGCCGGTGGGGAAGACCATGGTTCCCGGAATGCCGACGTATAGGGTTCAAGCCGCTTGGCGAAGAAAGGCACCCCACTGCATGGACGTAGCGATGGCCGGACACCGTGCTCACTGACCCATCTTGAGTATCGAATGTCTTTGTTTCGCTGTAGGAAAGCAATGTGAAAACTTGCAACGGGGACAACAGCTGCGGAAGTGGTGCAGGAAAGACGCAAGCAGAGTTTACCTCAAGTGCATGACGTTGACTCGGTTTGTCAACACGTTCCTTCGGCTTGTGCTCCGAAGGCTCCCAAGTGAATCTGCAGCAATCCTTCAGCTGTTGTTGATCAAGTTTCCTATTTGGACTCCAATACATATCAAATGTTGGCTGTTCTTCATGAGATAGATTGGGCTTTTTTACGGGTGAGAACTGAGGGACCAATTCTGTTGGTTGTTGCCCAGTGTGCCTATTTGTTTGTGTAACATGGTTTGCAAGTTGGTGTGTGATTTTATGTGATATCGTTAGGCAGTAAGAAACGTGTTTGTGTGTGCACAACATTTTCCACCCTTCTGGCCTAACTCACAATAAAAGCATTAAAAAAATGATGATAAATAACAGCGAGCCTGCCAGGATCAAGCTTCAACGATCAAGCTTCAGTTGATCAATATGTGAGGTTTAACGTTTCAAAACCACCGCAAGATTATTAAAGGCGCCACAGTGGAGGGCTCCAGAAATATCCAACACATGGGGGTTTTTACATTGCGTCCAAATCTGAGCACAGGGGCCTATAACATTTCCTCCTCTATCGAAAATGCAGCCGCCACAGCCGGGATTTATCCCGCGACCTGATGGTCAGCAACCGAATACGTTAGCAGCTAGACCACAGCGATGGGACAAAAAAACTGCAGTTTGTGCAATATAGGCGTTTATCATGAGTGGCCCAGTGGTGAAGCAATAATAGATTATAGGCCAAGCATAGTGTTACGCAGCAGTAATTTCCTGACGCCAAGACGAGAAAGTGGTAGAAGGGCGCGTAAGCGACAGCCTGTGGTAGGGGCGCACCATCATGTTCCTTGCGCCTCTCTAACTTCTCTCTCTTTCTAAATAAACCCATATCATTGTTACTATATTATAACAGCTTAGACTGTTTTATACTTAAAAGGGATGA